ATGGAAAAGCCTTGTGCACCTGTCTCCTTGCAAACACCAAGTAATTCTGGCCTTTTGTTGATAAAAAGACAATTCGCAGTCCATAAGCTTGTTATATTTTGAGATGCAATCTTTCTCCTGACTTATAAGAGAGGAATCAAGAGGGCAAGTTTGCAATCTTTCTTGAACAATCTCTAAATCATTTCTGGCCCTTAGGACTTGCTCACTAATGTTATAAAAATATTTTTTATTCAGTCCTTTAAGAGCTACTCTCAGCAATTTCAACTTTGAATAGATTGAGAACATGGTGTATCCTTCAATAGTTTTTTTCCAAACATCATTGACTGTAGTAGTGAAGCTGGGATGCTTTGTCCATATTTTAAAGAACTTAAAAGGCTTTTTCCCTTGAGAAATATCTTCATATATGGATAGTAGAGCTGGTGAGTGGTCTGAGAAACTAGGGAGAAGATATTCCACATGGCTTGTATTGAGCAAATGAATCCAGGAATCATTAACAAGGGCCCTGTCTAATCTACTCCACACTCTATTTTCAGAGCATTGCTTGTTGTTCCATGTATAATAACATCCCAAAGTCTTCAGATGAGTAAGATGACAATCTGAAATGAAATTATTAAAATCACATGTATCTGCTTCTGATAATCTTGTCCCTCCAAGCTTTTCATCATTATTAATCAATGCATTAAAGTCCCCACAAAGTAGCCAAAGCATCATACCAATGCTCTGATTAATCTGCATAAGTTCATCCCATAATGCCTTCCTTTCATCCAAAAGATTGAAACCATAAATTGAGGAAATGATACATTCCAGTCTCCCATCCATAGATTTAACCTTGCATGTAATCTGTTGATCAGTGGAGTTTATAATCTGAATATCCAAAATTTGAGCATCCCACATGATAAGAATTCTAGTTTTTGCAGGGCTCCTAACATTTGAGAACTAGTTCCAGTTTTTTCCAATTCTCTTAGTTACAATAGGCAGTGAAGATTCCTTTATCTTAGTTTCAAGAAGAGCCACAAAGGATATAATATATTGTACCAGGTGGTGCCTAACCAACTGTTGCTTAGAGGACTTATTTAGTCCTCTTACATTCCAAAAAGAGAGATTCATAGAGACCCACCCCCTCTATCAATTGTAGAAGGGTCAATAACTAAATCCCCCAAGGATGAAAAAGAGTTCTTAGAATTAATAAGCTCCTTAACACCAAGAGACCAGGGCTTATTTCCATGGGAAAAGTTATGGATATGTCCAATATTAGAATTCAGGTTATGCACCACATGCACATTCTCAGGCATAAGACTTTTGCTACATTCTCCAGTAAAAGTATGCCCCTTATATCTACTGACCTCAGAAAACTTTTCCCCTGATTGAAACAGGACTTTATCCCCAAGGTGACTATGTGCACCATGCACAGCTTGAAACTCCTGACTGTGATGTATCAGATTCCTTTGATCCCCTAAGTTTCCTTGATTGTGCTCACTACTAGCCACTGATGTTTTGGTGTTTTCCTTCTGTATTACCAGATTGAGTTCAGCCTGGTTACCATGCACAGCCTGCATATTATCTCCCTGCTTACCAGAATCACTTGCATTGGCAGTTGCATCTGATATATTAGGAACATTTAATTTTTGCTTTGGTACCCATTTCTGGATTCTAGGCTGTCTCTTACAATATGCTGAATCATGTCCCACCACCTTACAATAATCACACCATCTTGGTTTAAATTCATAGTTAACTTTTTGAGAAAAAATTTTCCCATTTGGCCCCTGAATTGCTATTTGATCAGGTAAGGGTGAGGGCATTTGCACTTCAACAAGAACTCTAGCATAGGCTAGTCTTTGCCTATCAGCTGTAAGTTTGTCTGTAGTAATTGGCTTACCTATGATACTCACAATTTTGCTAATACTCTTTTCATTCCATAAGTTCAATTTCAATCCAGATAATTGAATCCACATAGGATAAGTGTTATTCTTGATTTTATCAAAGTCTTCATCAATATTCCAAGGATTTAGGAGAAATGGTCGAGATCCAAAAAACCAGGGCCCCTTCTCCAAGATAGTATTCATTTCCTCTTTATTCTTGAACTTTAACAAATAAACACTAGCCCTAAGGAGGCAAATTTCTGGAATAGCCAATTGATTCCACACCTTATGAACAAAAGTTTCCATAGCCTTATATTTGACATTAAGCCCAATCACCTGACCAACTAGTGAAGATTGCCAGTAAGTAGCTCCTTCATTCCATTCATCATTTTCAAAAACCACAGCATTCTTGTTTGTTGGTGTCACATAATTCAAAACCAAACCACTTCCTGATTTTCTATTGTCAGCAAAGAGATTAATCCAATTCTTACTTGAATTATTGACAGGAGAAGGAATCACTGGCTCCTTTACAGATTCTAAAGGAGGAAAATCTGATTTTTCTTTTCCAGGACTATTGATTACCATATCATCTGATACTACAACAGATTCCTTATTTCCAGAAATTAAAGGCCTAAGCTCAGATTTTTCAGAACAAGTATTCAAATCTGGCTTCATAAGAGAATTCAATTTCAAATTATCTGATCTACTGCTATCAAAACTTTTATCCAAAGTATTTAAAGAAATAGGAATTGGAACAGAATCAAGAACTGAGTGCGGATCATTAGATTCAAGATTTCTTACCGAACTCATAGATCGAAGTTGTGAAGATGAAACTACATCCAAATTCACCTCATCCGCCCAAGAAAAACTAGGAGAACTAACATTTCCCGATCGAGAATTAGAAAACTCACGAATCCGAGCTCCAGGCTTCATAGGAGCAGTCGAGCACAAAATATCTGCCATTAACACCTTTTTCTTCTCTCCCTTAGGTCCCGTTGACCCCATGAGCTCCTCCTCCAAGTTTGGATCTTCATCATCTTCCAAGAAATTGATTTGATCGCCAGGAGAACCTAGACTCGAATTTGATGATCTCAATCCGATATTGAAGAGATTTTTCCTATTATTTTTCTTTTTTCTTACCATTTTTAAACACGGCGGGGGCGCACATTAGCAAGCTCAAGATCGCTTGCTAACCTGCACCAGAAACCGCATTTTTAAACACGGCGGGGGCGCACATTAGCAAGCTCAAGATCGCTTGCTAACCTGCACCAGAAACCGCCCCCTCTCTTTTTTCCTTTATTCAATTCTCTTTTTTCCTTTTTTCCTCACATTAGCAAGCTCAGATCTTTTCTAAGTAGAACTTAATATTGAGAAGAGTATTATTTATTACCGAAGCTCTAGTAGCATATGGTTTCCTTGAGAAGTCTTCAGATAATGATTCAAAATATTGATCCAACAAATGATTAACATCTGTGGGCTTACAATGAACCAATATAGTTGCAAACAAACAATGAAATGCTATTGGCATTTGGAAGACGATGGCTTCATTTAAGCACTCTCTTATGCTATCACCAGATTCTAAAAGACCTAATTTCTGGGCTGATTGCTTGAAAGATTTACAATGAATACCATTTACCGTCAGTAGATCCTCAAATGATGTCGAACACCACATGTGAGTAAGTAATAGTCGTAAGTAATATCTCTCTCCTTCAATTGGGTTAGCCCCGTTGATACGGCCTATCACATGTCTCTATTTTCTTGGACTCTAAGATTTTGATGTTGAATTCCAAACATAATATTCAGGAAATTCTACATATAATAACTCCTTTTCGTGCTCCTTTTCATTTTTCTTCTTGTCACCTTCTTTAATTTTTTTACACGTAGTAAAAAATTCTGTAAGCATCGTCTTGGAGACATGTTCCAAGTGAATCAATTTCGAAAGGTCTTGATTTTCTTGGTTAAATGGAGGTTAAAGAGAGTGTTAAAACACTACGGTCAGTCTTTTTGCAATTAACCCTAGCCTGATATAACATGGGTAAACAAGAAAAGTAACAGAGAATCAAACATTTTAAACATAGGGAATCTACTATATTGGAAGGGGAAAAAGGTGATCAGATGAAATGATCAGTTCCAAAAACAGAGAAACCTGCAAAATCACAAGAAATTTACATTTTCCCCCTTAATTTCCTCCTTTTTAAACATATTAAATACTATGACGAGATACTCATGCATTGGCATAAATGCGAGAAGCGCATGCCGCATTAAAACATATGGTTCTTTAAGATATTAATCCCTTAAGTATTTAGTAATTGCACATTCCCTCAAATCTAATGCGATTTATCTTGAATGACCATTTGCAATATCCTATAGGATTTGAGAGACTAATATAAAAATTTAAAGATCACAGGGACTAATATGTAATTGTAGAAGGTCTGAAGGAGCAATATCTTAAAATCTCTAAAAACGTAACCTAATCAAATGATTAAGAATCCTAATTATTACCATTCTCAAATAAATGACTGCAAATCCTCATGAAGCCTGTAAATTCCATGATTCCATGGTGTGTAATTTGCAGAATTAGAAGTAACCTATAATCTTCGAACTATTGATCTTAATGTACAATTGCAATAATAGTTATCAAAAATACTCCCTTGTGCTTAGAAATTTTAGTTCACAAACAAAAAAAAATAAATGAATTAAATTAAGATATAATCCTTTGATAAATTCTCAATGCTATTAAGGTTTAAAACTGTGATGGCGAAATAGAGTATGATAGAATGATGGCTTGAGTTTCAAATACTATGGAGTGTACATCTGTTAGGGGCTTGTTTGGTTGCATGTATTGCACGTAAACTGAAGGGAAAACATGGAATTGTCATATAGCAGGGCCCATGTTTTAACTTTTCAAAATTTCCCATGTTATGTTGCATCTTTAGAAATCATAAAATTGATGAGGTGACACTTAAAGCTACTCAAATAGAAATCCCTCAAAAACATAAGGATTTTGATGCAAAGTGCAAATTGACCATTAATCTTTTGGATTTCAAACCAAACCAAGGAATCTCAATTGGAAAGTGCATATGTGGATGTCCACTTTCCATCTTGTGGCATAAACACCTCATTTTCATAAAGACACCCAAACAGGCCCTTAAATGTGTCTCCATTGGCCAGGACAATATTGTGCACAATTAATAAGAGATCTACGTCACTATAATATTCAAAAGGGAGAACAAACTTAAACCTTTTGACATTTAAAACTATTGCAAGGTTGATGGAGGCATGAACCAGTGAAGTAACTAATATTAGAGAAGTCATGAGAATAATAACAAGGTAAATGATACTACTCTATCCAGCATGTATGACTTTGGAAACCTAGGAAATGAAATATCAAATGAAAAACGTGGATATATCTCGCTCAAACATACTGAACTAAAAATATCCTAGATCAATTTATCAAGCTTTTAAAGAAGTATAAAATCAAAATCTACAAAATAACACTCAGGAATTATTAAGTCGGGAAAAATAGTAGACATATTAACATTAATAGTGTATTACTGCAGTCTAAATATACAGAGCAAGCCCCTTCCTCAGTCCACCAATAGAGATAAATCATCTTAAAGGAAATTTTAGGAGTATTGTATGCTTACTTTTCTATAAGATCGTACGCTTCATAGCTCATCTCTTCAGGTACTTGAGGCCAAGGTATTTTACGATTCAGAATATTGCCAAATATAGTCTACAAGAATAAAAAACACATATATAGGGATTAAACGATTAACATTACATTAAGTAGTCTTGATTATCATGATGAACAACTTTAAAAAATTATATAGAATAAGAACTTTGAAAAATATTCTTGAGTTTTCTATACCAATTAAACATGTATTTTGCGGAATTGAATATTGGAGGTAACAAATGTTATTATGGAAAATTATGAACCATTGAAGCCAGAAGCATAAGAATAATTAAACACCCAATCACTACAAACTACGGCTGTGTACAGCTGGAACAAAGATCAAAAGAACAACAAAGCAGAGATCAAAAGTTATGGAAGAAGAGAGCAACTATATCAACTATCAACTAAGAGGAAGAAGTCATTAGAGAGTTTTAATACCACTGGTCGGTTATTAAGAACAGTCCTAATCTCCCCGTTCCCAGCTACGGAAGCAACCTTTCGAACTCCTCTGCGTACTTCCTAACCCCGTGCGTGAAGCTTGTGCTTTCACCCGAAAAAGTCAGGTAATCCCCTTTGTCAAAAATTTATAAATCGAACCAATTACTAAAATCAAAATCAAAATCAAATCAAAATTGATAAATTCATCAAGACAAACCAGAAATTATTCTCTTATAAAAACCTTGCTCAAATTCTTCACTTCCCGATCCTTCACTAAAATCTGATATTTGAGGAGAAGGTTTGTGGACGATGAGGATGATAATAAGCTTCTTGATGATGATAATAATCATCTTTGCCATTTGATAACCGAATATTGATGAGGTAGAGAGAGTAGGATTGCGTTGCCGGAGGAATTTCGTAACGGGTGGAACGGAGAAGGGAATGAACGAAGCGATTAGGGCTTTACATATTCTGATTTGGGAGCAATAGAAAAGATTTTAGCTTCGTGAAGTTAATGAAATGAAAGATGAGGACAACATGGTTATATTTACAATAGTTGAAGGATAATTTAGGGAGCAATAGAAAAGATTTTAGCTTCGTGAAGTTAATGAAATGAAAGATGAGGACAACATGGTTATATTTACAATAGTTGAAGGGTAATTATATAGAATAAGAACTTTGAACAATATTCTTGAGTTTTCTATACCAATTAAACATGTATTTTGCGGAATTGAATATTGGAGGCAACAAATGTTATTTTGGAAAATTATGAACCATTGAAGCCAGAAGCACGAGAATAATTAAACACTAAATCACTACAAACTACGGTTGTGTACAGCTGGAACAAAGATCAAAAGAACAACAAAGTAGAGATCAAAAGTTATGGAAGAAGAGAGCAACTACATCAACTATCAACTAAGAGGAAGAAGTCATTAGAGAGTTTTAATACCACTGGTCGGTTATCAAGAAGTCGGTTATCAAGAACAGTCCTAATCTCCCTGTTCCCAGCTGCGGAAGCAACCTTCCGAACTCCTCTGCGTACTTCCTAACCCCGTGCGTGAAGCTTGTGCTTTCACCCGAAAAAAATCAGGTAATCCCCTTTATCAAAAATTTATAAATCGAACCAATTACTAAAATCAAAATCAAAATCAAATCAAAATTGATAAATTCATCAAGACAAACCAGAAATTATTCTCTTATAAAAACCTTGCTCAAATTCTTCACTTCCCGATCCTTCACTAAAATCTAATATTTGAGGAGAAGGTTTGTGGACGATGAGGATGATAATAAGCTTCTTGATGACGATAATAATCATCTTTGCCATTTGATAACCGAAAATTGATGAGGTAGAGAGAGTGGGATTGCGTTGCCGGAGGAATTTCGTAACGGGTGGAACGGAGAAGGGAATGAACGAAGCGATTAGGGCTTTACATATTCTGATTTGGGAGCAATAGAAAAGATTTTTAGCTTCGTGAAGTTAATGAAATCAAAGATGAGGACAACATGGTTATATTTACAATAGTTGAAGGGTAATTTAAGGTAGGAAAAGTTTTTTGGGTACTCCCTCTTTTAAAGGATAGATAGATTAGATGAGTTTGGTTCAATTTGTTATTAACACCTATCATACTTATGTCATGTTTGAAAACTTCTTATTATAAGGGGGTACAATATTAGAATATAACACTAGATGACCAAATGCACTATACATATGAGCGAAGTATTTTATGAGTTTGCTTGTAACTTTTAGTTTTTTAGGAATTGCTTTACAATTTTCATATTTTTGAAGGGTTGTTTGTAATTTCATATTTTTCATGTTCTTTTTGTAATTTTTAAAACTTTAAAGGGGTTGTTTCTTATTTTTGAAGTTATTAGGATTTGTTTGCAACTTTTGAAATTTAGGGGGTTGTTAGTGATTTTCAAAATTTTTAAGGGTCTATTGTAATATTCAAATATGTCAGAAACTTTTTTTTGAAGTAAAAATATGTCAGAAACTTGTTTGTTTTTTTTTAAATTTTCAAGTAATTTTTTAGAATTTGTAGATTTTTATCAAGGGTTATTGCAAGTTAGCCTTTTTAGAGGGCTATTGTAATTTTTATTTTTAATTTTTAATTCTTAATTTTTGGATTTTTAAGGGGTTGTTTGTGATTTTTAGATTCGTACAGGGTTCTTTGTAATCTTTTATTTCTTTAGGGTTTGTTTTGTAAATTTTAGATATTTCCCTTTTGGCAGAAGACTTTCTAAATATAGGGGATTAAGAAAATAAGTGAGTATAAGCAATCAAAGTGAGGATACGCAAATAGGATGATTAATATGCAATCGAAGTGGATGAGGAAAATGATTGGGAAATGAAAAATCTTAATAACTTTCAGAAAGTTAATTGATAATGATGTCATTTTAGATCTAATCCTAAATGAAAAATATTTCTAGGACTATAGTAACACCCCATTTCCCTATTATTTACTCTTAAATCTCTAGACTATTTCATTTTAATGGACTAAATAGTTCTACATAATATCCTCTAACAAAATTGAACAAACGCGTTACTACTTTATTTTAAAGGATGAAAGGTTATTAACCAAAAATAATACCCAATCCAAAAATGACCGTAACACCTTATCAAATTATGTTTCGAACTTTACACATATCTATAGACACTACAATAAAAGTTGTATGTGTCCATACTTATTTTATGACACATATAAAAGTATCATTATATTTACAAAGGATTAAACAATAGAGACAAAAATAAAAAAATGTAGTAAATCACAACACATATTTGCGTCATTAGATATACAACAAAATATTATTAAAAAGGCTAATAGTTCAACATAGATTGTGAGAGGATCTATTAATAGGCTTAAATAATAAATCTTAGATTTTAATTATGATGATGATTAAACATTATAATAGTATATAAGCTGGAAAAAAAACTCTATAGTTAAATGCGCTTTGATAAAATTAATCTTAGGATTGGTGACCTCCTAGGAAGTTATAATGTTGAATGATGATACTCTTATATTTTTATGTTTTAGACACAATTATGTGTCACCACTCTTGACACATATATGTATCACAAGTTTGGTGACACATGTATGTGTCACCACTCACCACTCATGACATATATATGTACATATATATGTTTCACGAGTTCTGTGACACATTCTCAAATGTGTAGAGAGACGCTCTCCACATATGCTCTAGCCACATTTTTTGTATGTGTCGCTCTCTATTTGTGCGACACAAAAGTACGTCACGTAGAGATAAGAAAATGTATCATAATCTACAACTTTTGTTGTAGTGAGATTTCCTACATAAATCTTTTAACATGAGCTTAGACTATTTTTCTCTCATTTAATATATTTTATATTGAAAATAGAAAGTTAACAATTTACCTAAAATATATTTTTACAAAGACTATGTCTAAGAAGAAAATGTGATAGAATGTTATCCTTTGTCACCTGAACTTTATGTTTTGGGTGATTTTGTCCATATACTATATTTTCTTATGAGAAATCTAATTTTATAAAAATAAGTTCTAAGTGTTTTAGAGGAAAGTTAAAAAACATAGCATAATTGCATGATTTTTCACCTGTCATCGAAATAAGACTACCTTTTACTGGGGTGGCTCAGTAGGTCACGTGATAAAGCCGTGTCGTTCCCTCATAGGGGTTCTAGGTTCAAAACCGATACAGAAGAAACTGCATGAATTATCTCCAATCCGACCTTCTTTCTTTTCACAAACTGAGCTTTCTTGTCTGTCGTCTCCTTTTGGTTAACAAACGACCACAGAAAATCTTGATTTTGTTTGGAATAAGGGGGTTCCAAATGAGCTTGTAAAATCAACCCTCGATTCCTATACAATTTAGAATCCTACAGAGGGAATTCGCTGAGAGAGAACATGTCTTTTGAAGAGACCAGCTCACTGAGTCCTCATTTTGATTTGGTTCTCTCTAGTTTGATTGAAAGAACACCATTCAAGAAAAATATCATTTGAGGTTCTAGGAGAGGTGCTTTGGATAAGAGAGTTTCAATCCAAATAATACAATTTAGAATCCTACAGAGGGAATTCGCTGAGAGAGAACATGTCTTTTGAAGAGACCAGCTCACTGAGTCCTCATTTTGATTTGGTTCTCTCTAGTTTGATTGAAAGAACACCATTCAAGAAAAATATCATTTGAGGTTCTAGGAGAGGTGCTTTGGATAAGAGAGTTTCAATCCAAATAA